CCGTTTGATTTCTTGTATTTTCTTTTAATGCATTGGTGATTAAAAGTAAAATAAAAGTAAAGTGCACTTCCTATCCTCAGATGCGTCTCAGCGTGGCTTACAGGCGCCTGGTCATTTTTGGCCCAGTACCGTCTGGATGTTAACGCTCTCTACTCCCTGGGGAGCATACAGCCCAGTATCCTGTACGAGGCACTGAAGACTTGCAAACGAACTATACATTTCTCTGCCAGACCAGGAACTTCACCCCTGCTTCAACCTCTTAGTGCTAAGTGCTTAGCCGGGAGACAGCAGGTACCGTTCACGAAGGACTGGTATGTCCCCGAACGGGACCGAACCCACGTCCTCCCGCATATGGACCTTTTTAAAAATTATGGTTTATCTTTTCGCGGTGCCCGAAATTGCATTCTTGCCATTATGTTGTTCGAATACATGTATAATTTACTTTGGCAATTGGGATTTGGGACTGATAATAAAGAATTAAGCTTAGAAATAAGTTTTTAATGAAAATTTATATTTTACATGGGGATGGATTAAAAGCATGATGAAATCATTAAGGGTTTTTAGAAATTTGTTTTAAATCTGTAATAGAGGGGGATAGAAATAGTAGCTATATTTTGATATAAAATATAACCTCTTTTGATGTTAAATCTAGTGCATCTTATTTTATTGACATAATATAGCATTGACATAAAATACAAGAGGTTTTAATTATTGGCAGTTTTAAACTTGTTACGCATCTGACATATCTAGCTCTATTTTTGACTTTAATTCTTAAAGTTTATAGATGAATTAATGATTTTTACAGTTATAAAATGCTTTGCAGGACAGGTTAAATGGTGTCATAAGTTTAAACAAATGGAGAATTTCACAAAATTTATGATAATTCATTAAAAATGATCCACAATTTTAAGGGCCATATTCCTTCTCAAACTGAGAGAGAAAGAGAGAGAGATAGAAGGAGAAAGAGATTGATTGATTGATTGACAGACTGATTTATAGATTCGTACTTACATCAACCTAGAACACATTCCTTCTCCGCAGGTGAGTTTGTGTTTTCATATTTAAACTAAAACACACAGCAGACGCATTCACATAGTCTTTTACGTTCAGGGAAAATTGATTTTTAATTCAAATAGTTTTGCACGAAAGTAAATCTTAATCTTAATCATTTTAAACAAGGAATGTCCTTCACATCCCTGTTAAAATCCATTTACATAATATAAAACATAACTGACAGTACACGTGGCGCCAAACAGTTCAGGCCAGTTTCTTCAACCACGCCTTCCATGACCGTCCAGGGGTGGAGAGGTGGTGAATCGTTGCCCGTTCACTGAACATTCCTGCCACTGGGCAGCAGATAGCTGGCATAACAAACACCAGACGGCGTGATGCTTCACGGTACTGTGGGTTAAAATAGGCCAAGGTTAGCCTACATAATAAATCTATGTAAATTGTTGACATTAAGTGCTTTAGTGTAGTGGCCAGAATAAAGTTAATTCATTCCCAACACCTTGACCCTCTCTTGAAAGGGGGCTCAAAAGCTAGAATAACTTAAATGAAATGGATGTATGACGTCACCAGATTTCTTTACAAGATACATTAGTTTCTGGGGCAATGGTTTTCCCTTTAAAGACAAATCTGGCATCGGCTCTAACTGATCATCTCTCTAAATACTTGTGCGACCGTATACAGGTATAATGCACATGCCTTTAGACACTTCATAGCGGTTGGTAGTTCCATGTATGCTAAGTATAGCTGTTAGCCGGACAAACACCGGACGTGAGCTCAGACAAGAGATCAGCAAAACGCAAGGCTTTCTGCATACCGGCACGCTGCTGCAGGAAAAGGTAGGGCAGTTAAACGACTTCACGCAAACTGTAGAATGCTTTATTATTTTGGTGTGATCACAGTTTTGAAACAAATTATTTGCTTTTTCTAAAAACGCAAAGCTTTTTGCATTTATATAGATGGTATATACATTTATTTAGGGTGGGCATGCAATGCCAATGGATTCTAGACGGAAATCTGTTTTGCGACGAGAATGAACATGCATATATCTTTCCGCCAATCAGGTGAAATATCTAATACTTCGGACTTAACCATGTTCATGTGTTTATCGTCACTTAAAATCCCACGATCAGGCTGAATTCTTTACGCTGGAGCTTAAAGTATTACAAAATATTTTATAATTGACAGTGAACGCAATGATGTATCTGACAATAGCAGACGCTAGAATACACGGTATTGGAAACCACCCTGTAATCGAACATTATTTCTCGTCGAAAGATGTTTCTACTGCTCCTTTCTTCATTGAATCAGCATTTCCCTTTCGAATATGGTCAGTATCTTAAACCTCACGGCTTAATGCTTCCAAGTGGTGGTAATTTCCCAAAAGTTCCAATACATACCTGTACGTGTATGTAATCATTATATTTATTCTGCAGTGGCGGATTTAGAGGGGATTAAGGGGGACCTGACCCCCTTCGGTTTAAATTTCCGAAAAAATATATATCACCCTAATAGTCCCCTCTTGAAATTAGAACTTTGAATAGCTAAACCATCGTTCTAAACTGTACCAAAGGGCACAGTTTCCCCTCCAAAACATCAAAAATTTTGGGGCCCTTAAGCAGACCCCGAACGCCCCGCCAAGTCGGCTTAGCATCCAAGGCCTGTCGTTCTGGACCCCCCTTCAAATAATCCTGGATCCGCCCCTGTTCTGTACACTCACCTCTCAGTTAATCATTGGCACTGCATTACTCAACAGCATTACACAGATTCAGTACATAATTGTCTAAGAAGCGCTCAGATACCATATGTTGCAATAATTTACTGCAACTGGTGGTAGGGCCCAATGAGATATATCATCTATAAAGCTGTCTAAGGTAAGAAAAAGAAAAATGAGTAGACAACCAAGAACACGTGCAGAAAGCGTATGAATAGAAATGAGTTATCATCAGTGCTCAGAAGTAAAGGGCAAAAGCAAATTCAATTGATCAGAATTGATGTTTGATGATATTTTGGGGGGGCATTACTGATCTCTCATATTTATGTATGATTATGTAGCCTGATAAATCAATGTCAAATTACGTATCTCACTTAGTGATTGTTACTATCGCCAAGGCACAACAAAAATTTTACAGAACTTTTCAAGGCGATTCGATCATTTTGCTCATAATTGTATTTAACTTGTATTTTACACTGTAACTTTTATTGAAAGTATTTGAAATTCACATTTCAATTAAATATTAATATTTTCATAATTAATATATGAGATATTAACAAAAATCGGACCAGAATGTAATAAGCAACGATACATGTATACTGAACATAATGCAACTACGTGCGTTATTACTCAAGTGTAATTTTACATACATGTACGTCTGTTAAGTGATATGGTTTTGTAATCCTACACCTATCTATTTTTTTTAAATTGCCCTTGGTATACTGTGGTCGGCAACCCGAAGGGAGAATGCTCAACATGAAAATACACTTTTGATAATTGACACGTACGTGCTAAAAGACCAAACTCGCGACACGTGCCAGATGTGTCTATCTCGGGGCACTGACCCAGTGTAAGTAGGAACATGTTCACGTACATACAAGTATTATTTTCCCTCTGGTTGATGGATCCAGGATGTTACGAAGGAGTTGATTTTTTGTTTAAAATACCCCCTCCCTCCCCCTCCCCCATTGCTCACACTGGTAAAGTAAATTCAACTTTGGAGAAAGACGTTTTCGAAGGAATATTATTATTTTTACACGATTGCTATAATGTGACTGGTACAACCGTGGTAGTGATATTGCTCATACTTCATCACTCACATCACTGTGTTAATGTTACTTCATCATACTGGCTGATTCATGACCTTATGACTGGGGTTATAATGTTTTACACACTATGTCACAAGGTGTGTGTGCGTTTGTGGCAGGGGGAGGGGGATGCCAAGATGTGTGTGAGTTGGGGAGGGGTGCAAGTACTGTAAGTATTAATTTTGTATTATCCTTGTTTCATTAAACCTATCTGCCTACAAAACGATGGAAGCTATAAAGGAGGAGCCTGGGCCTGTCTACATTATCCTTTCGGGATCCTGTCATGTTTCATTCTCATACAGCATATTATGCCTTTCTCTAGAGAATGACAATAAACGCTTCCCTCTTTTTTGTTTGCTATGATATAACCAATCATGCAGGCTTGTATCGACCGTTTGGGAGTGCAGTGCGGTATTTTCTCTTTTTTACAAAGCCATTAGCTTCCTGACACTGGAGGGGGCCGCTGCCTGTTCAGGCTCTTCCAAGTCAGTAAGCGTCTAATTCGTATCATTATATCTAAGTCATAGCAGACATAGGCGGACTAAGGGAAGGGTACAACGGGTACGTGCTCCCCTAGCTTCTGAGCTACCCCTTGTCCTCCCCCCAACATTACAAACGTAAAATTACAACAAAAGTATTCTCATCTACTATCTTATTTTTGTTCTCGTGACCACCCCCCCCCCCTGCAGAATATTGGATCCGCCAGTGAATGAGAAGACTACATTTTGTATACGTCAACGTGTATAATATTTTAAAAATAATTGAAAATTATTGCTGAGCGTCATTAGCCATTTAGAAAACTGAAAATGACTGAGAGAAGCCAAACAGACAAAATAACATTCATGAAATACCCCCTATCGTAATTAAATTGTGGGCACACACCGGTTTTTCTTTTCTGGCGTCCATATATCCAAACATATCACTTATCACGGCAATCCATGTAATTTCATCAAATTCACATCATCATCACCATTAGAGCCTTTGTCGTATCATAACTACGAATGAAAGCAATTTATAGCTAACCACTAGTTATACGTATTGCCGCAGTATTGGAAGCAACATCCACCTGTTACGGCTGGTCTCACATCAAAGCTGATGGTAAAAAAAACGAGATATGCATGCAAGTATTCTATGCAGGAGAAACCCGATCATGTGGAAAACTACCCATTGCCATTGCAAGGTAAATGATGAAAGCTGCTCTTGAGGGATGTATATCGATCTTGCAATCCTTAACGTTACCCGTATGGTGGCTGACACTAAAGGCAGTTTGCTAAGAAATCAATTTATTTGTGAATCTGGCTGGGGTTTAAGGACCTTTTTTGTCCATTTGATCAAAGATCACGTTCTAACTGAGAGAATCAACACTACTCTTCTTGCTGCATTGCCTTTACGTGCGGAAGGTTTTCCCATAACAAAGGTATTTAAGATACACATTTCAGACGTAACAGCATGTCGCTTACTGTTATTTATCATATTACTGAAGAAAATGTTAGCCTTTTTTTCGAGGTTATTCATGTATATGCGTATATAGATATCATAGTTAGTTGGTTGCGTATTGATCAACAGCCGTCAAAACAGTTTCTGTGTAACTGCAGGAGAGCCATTGTTTAGACGGCTGCTTTTTTACATTGCCGACGCAGGTGTTTCCCTTCTGTCTCTCAACATCACTTCATCTCAACACCTTGAAGCACTAGTTAGTTACAGAGTGCCAATGGCTAAGTAGGGGCCAGACAGGAAATACTAGATGCAATCGTGTTGTATTGTTTCAAGTGAAATATTTGAATATAGGATTGGTAATGAATTACACGATTCACAATAAATGTGTGCTTTTGCAAACTGACTGTTCCCCTTCCTCAGAGGGGTGTAAAAACGGTAGGAGGTGCTGTTACGTGACTGTCTGTAAATGTGCGTATTACCACTTGAACTGGACTACACGGCAAATGTATTAATGTATTTCATAATAACGTGTTATATACCAAAACCAACAATGATGGCCAAAAAGTTTATCAAGTGTGTGTGAAATCAAATCAGCTCTTTAGGCTACCACTTAATGGACGATGGTCCAGTCACTGCTAGTATTGCTATTTTAATAGCGTGATGCCGCTTTAGCCCCAGTTACACCGCTTGAATAACGAAAATTTGGGACTTCATAAAACGTGACACTCAACATGAAATTGATACATCTGTCTATATGAAGTTTGAATATTGCAGCCTTTTCCTTTAGTTACATGATTGTAAGGGTCGTTCTGCAAGCAGTCGCTATCCTGATGTAACAGGGGCTAAAGAAACGTGTAGCTGGCAACGCTCAAAACACACATTCTGAAGGCAGACCATATAAATTTAGAAAGCATATAGTGCTGTGTGAGCAACGGCAAATGCACTGTTGTTTGTGAAAGAGAAAACAGGCGATATACGCTGTTCCAAATCAAAACTAACATGAGTTAATGTTGTAAATTCGAGCGAGGTGTATCATTAAGAAAAAACAATCAAGAATTTTGGATCGAAAAAAAAAAACATAATTTTGAGGAAAACATAATTACTGGAATAATATGATACACAGCAAATTACTTCGGTAACCGTCATGTATTGTGTAAAAGGGTGATTGTATCAATGGTAATTTTGTTTGAAAAGGGTTGAGGGTAGGTATCGATCCCTGTGTATACAGATTATAGAAAAAATTGCATGTTGAAGATAATGGCAGATATATAGTCTTTGACACAGAGGTTATTTCTAATCAAGAATTAAAGCTCGAAGGAGACTTAATCACAGTGGTTCTTAGATGTTTCCCTTTATGTTACCAGAGTAATAGTGCTACGATGACTGTTTGTGTGGGTCGTAATTTCATCAGACTCTCATTACAAGAACTTATAAAAGATAAAGTGGGGCACTTTATGGTGCCGAATACATACTTGATACGTTTCCCTAAAAACAATTTCAAATTAAACGTTTCATCTAATAATTTAGACACGGCTCTCAAACGCATTTACACAAATGTCGTCCGTCAATGTTATACCATTTGAATCCATCTGTTTTCATTATGACGTGTTGAGCATTATGCCCAAGTACATGTACTTTTTTTACAAGTAATGCATTTTGAATGTTTTTATAAGTATCACACATTTGAATCGCAATCTATCACAAAACGCTTCAGCTATATTGTGACACAAAAGACGTGAATGATTTTGTATCAACTTGAACATTTGGGTAATGCACATTGCACCAGGATCATTCATCATTAGGCAATAGAGAGATACGGGAACTGTGCAGCTCAATTACTAAAAAAATACAGTAGATCCTGGCGGATAATTCAGTAGGTTTGTTTTGCTTGACAAGAATCATCTAATGCACACATTATTCAATACTTTAAAAGTAACGAATAAATCACTTTCGTACTGGGTATCCATTTATCTGGTAGATCACGGTGCATTGTGGGAGACACATTCTTGTAAAAGTGCCCCAGTTGCAGTAGTGATGATCATAGATACGGAATCACTCACCCAGTCATCAGCCACGTTTGCTCACAAAGAAGTCTTGGATACGGCTTGAAAGGTAGTATTTCAAACGTCTGAAGAGGTTTTGGAATTGGTCTTGTGTGGTCTTGAAGTTCATGAAAACTTCAAGGCGTCTTTATTCTACCGACACGACGTCTTCCAGACGTCTCTTTCAAACGTCTGAAGAAAGTTTAACTATCGGTCTTGCGTGGTCTTCACATTAAGTCGTTCCGAAGACAGTAAAAAAAGACGCAAGTATTCTCAAAAAACTTCTTGGAGGCATTAAATGAGTGTCTTTTTTGTGAATATCTTCAGTGATTGGGGGGGGGGGGGGGGGGGGGG